TACAATTTCTGAACCCCCCTTTCGCGGGCTTTTTGCGGGGTTTTCCTGCCTTGGAGACCCCCTAAATTCAGAACACTGCTCAATGTACCCCCTATCTCAGGTGAGCTCTCATTCCAACCGTAGTGACGTTAGTGTAGCGTGTGGAACTGTCGAACCAGTCTACACTACGTAGTGTAGAGTTCAGTGAACGAGGGGAACTAGGGGGCAATATTTTTACATTTCAAAATTAAATAATCCTGAATGAGCTTTCAAAACTAGCAGGAATTTCAGGAATTTTATCCCGGGATTTGATAAAGTTTTCTATGATATTCAAGATGAAAGAGAGAGAGGAAAAACACCCCCTTTTTAAAGAAATATCCGGGTGAAAAGTCAAATACACCCCCTTTTTTACAATTCTTGGGCCGGATTTTGTCGCGCGAAAAATACACCTTTACCGGAGATTTTGGGAACGCGCATGCGGTCCCTCTGACCTCGGAGTGGGGGGGCCGGGCCTCCATCACTCTCCCTCCGTCATTCATTCATCCATCTCTCTCGCTCTCCCGCATCCATCCATCCACCTCTCTTCCACCTAATAATACAGGTATTATTAGCTCTTGATTATATGTATAGTGGATTGATTTTGGAGTTAGCTAACGCAGTTACTGTCCTTTGTGATGGTGGTGTGGTGTAAACAGTGAGACATTCTGTTGTTTGATAAAATAAGATGAATATAAAATGTAAACGCTGTAAAAAAGTGGCAAACTTCTGTCAGCGAAGAGGCAACGTATGTGAACATACAAAGACAATATACTCTTGTTCTGTCCGTCACTCTACACGCTTTTATATTCTATGCACACATTTACAACAGCGATAACTGTTCGAGTGATGCATCGAGACAAAACAGTTGCTTGCCTGACATGATATCGTACACTTGACCGCTCTTAACTTCGTAGAAACAGCTCTGGGCTTCACGAATCGTTCACAAGTTGGCGAGCGGTTTCAATACGAACACACACGACACTTTAAAATTTACAAATAGAGATTACCGATAGTCGGAATCTAAAATCGACAAATGAGTTCATCTCACGGTTGCATGCACAAGCTTCCATCGCAGACACTGGATTACATGTCACAATAAAATCGTTCCACACATATAATATTGATACACCTCGTAAGCCGACCTTGGAGCTGTTCAGAGGAGAAGATACATCTTACAGGACCGAAACGTACATCCAGCGACACATCCATCGCATATTTCACGTTTCAGGGTGGCGGCAGTGGTTACAGCGGTCTACTCTCTTCGTCTGTTCCCTACATCATTGATCACTCTCCACTAGCCACCCTCTCTCTCTCTATCTCTCTCTCTCTCTCTCTCTCTCTCTCTCTCTCGCTCTCTCTCTCTCTCTCTCTCTCTCTCTCTTTCTCTAATCTCTCGTCTCTCTCGTCTCTCGAGTCATCTCGACTCGAGTCTCTCGTCTCTCAGTCTCTTCCGTGCATCTCCATCGTCTCTCATTCTCTCTCACTCTATCTCTCTCCCATGGTCGTCTCTCTCATCTCTCGATCGGTCCTCCGTACTACTCTTGCTCCGGTCGTCGTGCGGATCTCGCACTTCTCTTCTCGGGATAGCCTCCTCCACTCTGTCTCCTATCTCTCTCATCTCTTCTCATCGCCTCACTTCTCTGGTCCTCGCTCTCGGATCATGAATCTCTCGTCGTAGTCTCTCTCTCGCCTCCATCTCCTCTCTTTATCTGACATATACCTCCTCTCCTCAGGTCGTCGTTCTACGGCATGCTACTCACCGTCAGACCTCGAGGGGAAACCTCTCTTCAGAGTCTGACCATCGGTCGTCCTCTACTTATCTGCAGCTCTACTTCCGTCGGAAGTCAAGTGCGCGAAGTTACTTGAGTGTCTACGTCTCTCTCTCTCGGTTGTAGCTCGCTGTGCTTCCCTCGGAATCTTTTTACTTCACAGAGTCCTGCAAGTGCTCTCGGGTTCGCTTCCTTCCGTCTCTCGGTCGTCTCTCTCTGCTTGGCTGTCTGCTACCTCGTCGTCTCATGTGCTCGTCCACTCCGCTCGCTCTCTCTCCTCTCTCTTCTCCTCTCTCCCTCCCTCTCTCCCTCTCTCAGGCGCTCTTTGCATCTGAGTTCACTCTATCCTCAGGCGGAATCCAGGTGTCTCTCCTCATGTCGAGTCGGCTGAACTCTCCAGCTCAGGTGCTCGTGGCGTCGTCATCTGTCTCGAAGTCTAGTATATCCCGGTTCTCGTCGAAACTGAGGCGGTCTATCCTACGTTCTGCGCCGCCATGTCTCTGGTCTATCATCTCAGAGTTAGATCTCCATCGGTCGGACTCTCGTCTTCTCTCTGTCAGGGTCTCCTCAGTCTCGCTCGGCTCATCTCGTCTTCCGATCCGCGGCTCGCTCGAGTCTCATCATCTGTCCTCTCTCTCTCAGCTCTCTTCTCTCTCTC